ATGGTGTAAACAATGGCCAGTGAGAGACTGAACTGGGGATACAGCCCAGTCTGACTGTTCCACAGTTAGAACAGTTGTGTAAACTGTGATTCATTCTGTAAAAGCATCAAAGCAAAGCCCATTGAACCCTTTCCTGCTGTGTTTCTGTGACTTTGTTCCTGTAGGATGCTGCTTTCTACAAAGAGGGGCAGATCTGTGTTTAACACGTTGTGCAGATTTCTTCCAGTTATTAAGACATAAGGATGTACAACTTCAAATGCTGACATAATGTGTTGTGCATGTGTTGGGTTTGCCATGTTTGTGTGTTCTGATTGACGCACCCGTTGTTGTGAGCTCAGACGAAGATTATTTTTGTATGCAGCAGCAACCTTGCAAAGCAGTGTATTAAGACAGCCGACAGTGCGAAGAGGTTTGAAAATTAGTATACATCCCTTCATGTATTGTGAGCTTTAATCTTATTAAACTGTACAGTGGCTATATTTACTTTCTTATGATTTCACCTGCTCAGCTTATGATTAAATAGTCCAAAATAGGCTTACACACATTCTGTGATATAATAAAAATTTGTATCTAAAGGATGGTGACTCATGGAAAGAGGTTAATCTCTGATCTTAAAGGTTTTCGACTGAATTAACCTGAAACGAGGTGTTTTTGCTGACTTGAATGCAAATGCCAACTTAATGCAAATTTAGCTGTCGGTGAAAGATTAGGCATCTCTTCTAAAAGCATAGCTCTGCAACGTCCTCTACATTTTCATTTCTAAACAGTTCCTGCTGTGCCGTAATACAATTTCAGATCATTTGGGGTGACATTGAACACTCATGCATCATTATGCTTTCACGAAGAACTGCTGAATGTCCTCCAGATTTTAGAGACAAGCGGAAATGATTTCTCAGTAGGGTCTGATCACCCTATACTCAGTTTATAGTTAAAGTGTCTCTTTGTGATTTTCATTAACAATCTTTCTTCTGCGCTCCTGACCAGCATGGGAATACATTCCCTAACTCCTTGCTCTGCAGAGATAAATTATCAAGCTGTTGGACTTTTGCATCTTTCAGCCACATCAGTGAAACCTGAAATCACATTTGATGGCCTTGCAGCTGCTGGCCCCAAGTGAAAATAATTGACAGCAAGTGTGGCAATCCAAGGTAAGCAGTTAAAACACCTCAGATCCGGGACAGTTCCTTCTCATTTTACTTGAGAGGAGCTGTTTGCAGGGAGCTCCGTTTGAATGGTGGAGATTTTCTCTCCCATTATTTCCAGGGAGCTCTCTCCGTGTGATGACGTCGAAGGGCCCTTCTCTGCTGAGTGCGGCTCCAGGCTATTGCCTTCGTCTGGCTCCAGGAAGGCTTCTCTACTTTGGGGTTTGATGAACTGCACACTCAGTCTAGGCGCCGCCACAGCGCCACTCTGCTGGGTAGGCTTTCGAACGCAGTGGGAGAGGGTGGAAAAGCAACTCTTCTTGAAGTTCTCGTTCATGAAGGCGTAGACGATGGGATTGTTGAAGCTGTTGAAGAACCCGATGGCCTGAACAGTGGCGATGATCATGTTGAGTGTGACGCCGTCGTATTTGTTCTCCAGGTCATCTGGAGGACAGGATAATTACACATAAAGAGGATTGAGGCTTTTAATAAATGGAAATGTGCACTTAAGCAAGATCTTTTTTATTTACTCCTGAAACCACAGACCCCTTAATGCACCAGGCAATGCTTACAGTATTCAAACAGCATGTGGACTGTGTGGAAGGGTGCCCAGCAAATTGTGAATAGCAGAACAATGGTGATCATCATTTTCACAGCCCTTTTCTTTTTCCTGTAGAAGGTTAAAAAAAATAAATCAAAAAATCAAAATCGTTATATAAAAAAATGTAAACTACACAAATGTAACACATGTCTTATTGCAGGGAAAAAGCAGGTGTGACCAGGAACATTAATCATGGCACTCTTCTTGCATTGGAATGTACCAGAGAGATGCAACAGTGAGTCACTGTGGAAGTGAGTCTGTATTTGTGTGAATTTCTTCAAAAGACGTAATCACCTTTAGCAGCAGTACCTCGAAGAAGCTGTTTTCTGAACTCTCACATCTTTGTGGAGAAATTTTAGCCTATTCTTCTTTACAACATTGTTTGAGTTCATTGAGGATTTTGGATATTTGTTCCTGCACAGCTCCCTTTGTGCATTTGCGACACCTTGAGTAATTTCTATTCTCAGCAAAACTGTTGGAGATTTGCTTCTGTGCTCGGGATCATCGTACTGTTGTATGACCCAGTTTTGGCCAAGCTTTAGCTGTCGGATAAATGGCCTCAAATTTGACTCTAGAATACTTTGGTATACAGAGGATTTCATGGTTGACTTGATGTCTTTCAAAATCACTGTTTTTGAAAGTTGGTATGATGTGTTTGTTCTGATACGCTCTGTTTGCTTTTTGCCAAATGTGGTGTTGTGCATTACAGCCAAACATCTGTGCTTTCTCCTCTGTGTAAAGGACATTATTTAGAAATTTGTGCTTTCTTTAGATGAAATCTTAGAAACACTAACCTAACTTATTTTTAGAAAGATGAGTTTTTCTCCTGGCAACGCTTCTACCAAGCCATATTTATCCAATCTCTTTCTAATTCTACTGTCATGAACATTAACATTTAACATGCTAACTGAGATGTAGCTCCTTGATCTTTTCTAGTTTCCCTGAGCATTGAACAGTCTGACCTCGGGTTTCATTTGCTGTAAAGAAATCAGCACTGTGTTGACACACCTAAATACTTTAGAACACCAAACTGCCAAAACCTCAACTTTTATAAGGTGCTCGAACATAGCTGATAGTCAGTTAATCAAGTGTATTTGATTAGCAGTACTTGGCTGCTGCTCGATCTCTTAATTCTGATGGAAGCTTTAAAGTTTTACTTAGAGTCCTATGAAAACGTTCTTTTTCACAATACAATAAATCTTTAATGAAATGAACTCAGCCAGTATCACATATTGCAGGTCCAAACTATGCTACCAGGTGGCAAAAGTATCTTAAGTGCAGTGCCCTAACAATTCTCCTGGCCCTAAATGTATAAACATATACCCATTTCAGTCTCTGCCCTTCACATGTTCTCTCCACAAGAGCAACAACATTGCTCAAATGACTAATAGTTTATGTCCAGGAGAGTAGAGTGGAGTACAGCGGAGAGCAGGTGTTGCATCTTCTTGCAAACCACCTGTTAATGTTAGTTTCAGTCAGTAAAGATAATGTTCTGTCCTTCCCTTGAATCTAACTGTAATTTCTTTGGATTGCTGTCAGTCTTGCACTGATATTAATAGCGTAAAATGAACAACTAACATGGCATGCAAGTAGATGTCACCTAATCTCCTTATTTTTTAAATACAGGTGTTCTTTTTCTTCTTCTTTCTTTGCTTAACTGTTGATTTAACCAAAAAAATAAAAAATAAAGTAAAAGTTTATAGTTTAAATTTATTTTATTTTTTTTGAAAAGCAGGTTCATTTCTTTTTGTAAAGATGACTAGACCATGCAGCAAGGGCAATAATGCAACAACAGTGCCCCCATTCTTGACCTTCCACCCTCAACTATTGACAGTTCAGTTCTGTTAATTGGAATGCAAACAAGGCCAAACTGAAACGAAATGTCATCTACAAATAAATATGGCAGTTAAATATCTCCATCAGACTTGTCTAACCCACCTTGATATCTTACTGATCTCCCTGTGGTTCATGGTGCTGAGGACTGAGGCATCACCCACCCTCTTGCGGATCCACAACTCTATGCCAATGCATGTGTAGAGGAATAGCATGGCTGCCAAAGGGAGCAGGAAAAGGGCCACCATGATGAAGGTGGTGTACGCCTGCCTGTGAGTCACCGAGCTCCAGCTCTCCTGACAACACACATGGTAGTGATCGTACAAGAAGTCGTACTTCACCTGAGATATGGAAAAAGAAAAGCTTTTAGTCATGGAAGAACGGTCAAGACAGCTGAAGTAGGTCTGACTGACAGGGTGGTTTTTATCCAATGCTTTACTACATTTAATTCACACTGATGCATTTTTTTTCTGACAGGTTTGGTGTGCCAAGGAGGCCATCTGATAGTAGTAGGCTTCCCTGAGAGGACATAGCATATGGTATAATCATGTTATGCCATCCCACCAACTAAAAATGATTACTTTTACAGCTTTAATAAAACCAAACCCCAAACACAAGATTAAAATTAGGGTAGTTTAAAATTTTAATTAAATCTCAATTAAAAAGCATCTATTCACAACATTTATGGCTCTGCTGTGAGTGAATTTAGAGCCTGATTCAGGTGGAAAGTTAAGATAAAGCCAACATGTCTTTTCATCTGTTGTGTTCAGAGGGATTACCAGGAATGTGAACCTTCTTCAAGCTAAAAAAGGCAATCTTATGTGTTTTTTGAAGGGCACTTACCTTTAACTGTTGCACAAACAACATTGGTGAGCCCACTATCACTGAGGCAATCCATACAAGTCCTGCAAGAAACAAACAAGTATTTAATACCATCAAATAGAAAACCTATAACTTTAATACTGTGTCTGCTAAGGCATTTCAAGGAGAGCAACTTTTTAGTGACAAACAGCAGTCGCAGTAGCCCTATAATTAAATACCTCTCTTACGTAATTCATAATCTGTCAATCGTGTGCAATCTCTGCGAGATACCTGCATTTTCCTTCCTAGAAACTATGCTAATAATATAGTGGATTTAAATGAAACAGTCAGGATGTGATTGGTGTACATACTTTCAGGTTTAACTCAACAGGTTTAAGGAAGGATTTGTATTAACTGTTGTTGAATTACAGATATTTTTATACCCTGTCCCACAGGGTACCCATTTTTAGATATATAAGGATTATTTTTTTAATACTTGGATGAAAACTCTTTACAGTCAATGACTGCCAGAGATCTAGAACCCATGGACATCACCAGATCCTGCATTTCCTTCCCTAAGATACTCTGCTGGGACTTTGCTGCAGCCATCTTCAGTTGCTGCTTGTTTGTGCTTCTTTCTGCCTTTAGTTTTGTCTAAAGTAACTAAACACAATGTCCTGTTGAGTTGAGATAAGGTGAGCCCCCTGCCAATTGAAGAATATCCCATTTTCTGCCTTCATAAGCTCTTGGGTTGCTTTTGCAGTGTACTTTGGATCATTATCCATTTGCGCTACAAAGTGCTGTTTGATCAATTTTTCAGCATCTGGCTGAATCTGAGAAGAGTGTAACTAAAAAGATTTCACACGCATGTTTGCTCGAGAGTAACACTTGCTTTATTTGAATCTCTGATAAGTGTCTTGTCAATTTGGCATGCAGAATTCTGAGCTTTGCAGTGTAGGCAACACGCACATGTAAAACCCCATGTATTTCTATCTGTGAATCAGCATTGCTGCGATATTTCTCACATAACAGAGGATGCATAAGTACAACATGCCACTCTGGTAAACAATCAATACCTAGCATCTTGTATGCTCTTCTGGACGAATACTGCCTCCTCATTTTCAGTGGGAATACAATACCCTGGTATCTCTCAATAGCAATGCAGGTCATTGTTAGGATGCCTGTCACTATGGCTGTAGTCTGTATGAATGGAACAGTCTTGCAAACCAGAACCCCTGCAAGTAAAAAAAATAAAAATATAATAATGAATATAATGCAGCATGCAGAAGAAACATTTTACAAATTATGATGACTATTTATTAAAATGACAAGCTCAGACCTGGCTATGTTCTTGCTATGATAGGTTGTTTGTCAGCTTTTAACAATATTTCTGCAGGTCAGTGTTAAAAACTGTTTAATATATGAGCTCCCACTTAGTAACCACATGCTGAATTTTAACATCAAGCCCAAGAGGTAATGATTCATATAGTGTTTTTAGAGGTTGTAGATTTAATGCTTCATATCACTGAGAGTTAATACAGTTATGTACAAGCCTTAAGATACTATAAGACATTGAAATAACACCCTATCACACTGTGAGGAGACAGCACTTTAAAGACTCTGCAAATAGAATCACCCCTTTTAAAAATAAAAAGCAACAACAACAAATTGTTCTAGTTATATCCATTATCCAGTATTCATTATATTCAGTATCCATTGCATTAAATAAATGTTGATATGAGCAAGAGCTTTCATTATCTATGCTGTAACAGAAGTGGACATAACAAGAAAACAGTCTGTAATTTTAGAATAAAACATTATAAGTGTGTTAATTTAATTATTTAAATGTTCACATCGACAGCCACTTATCCACAAATACTTCAGTGCATGGTTTGGGGGACTAAATATGATCAACTGGCAGTCTGGAGCCAGCGGTGCTTCACTTGCCTCCCGCTGTGACTTCCTTCAGGTTTCTGACTCATAACCATCTGGGTTTTTTTTTTTTTTTTTTTAGCCTTTAAGAGACAGGAGGTCTTTATCTGCCATTTAAAGGCATTAGCTCATGGTGGGGTTCCAAGAATCTCTTTAAAAGTTCATTCCTCCGAGGATGTTTTCCCACCCTGTTCTGACTCTCTCTGGTGCCTGAAATGTGCACATTTCTTTTTTTAATGTGCTGCTGTACTAGATTTCATTCATTGCATTTTTGAAGCTGTACTGTGGCTTATAGAAAGGGACATCGTTCTGAGGTGCAGCATGTGTCATTATTATTCAGCTTGTGCGCTTAGTTAAAGTCATGGATAATCCGAGGTGTAACCTAATGGCACATTGTATCCCCTCACAGCAGCAGTCTCGCGATTTAATATTTAAATCTTATTCTTATCGAGAAAACGATCCTCGTGCCTGACGTACTGTTAAAAAGTTGGTGGCTTAATATAAGTTCATAACTCACCGCCGAACCATTCAGAGGAGATGTTCTGCAGCAAAGTAAACGGTATGCAGAAGAAAGTGATGAGCAGGTCGCTGACCGCCAGAGAGCAAATAAAAATATCTGTCGCCGTCTGTATCGTCCGTTTCTTCACAATTATGTAGATGACCAAACTATTTCCAGCGAGAGCCAAGACGAAAATAACCACATACATGATCACGAAGGTGGTTTTGGCGCTGTACGGTAACTCGGGGATGTAGACGAGCGGCTGGATGTTGTAGGCGTTGATAAAGTCCCGACGGCTCAGGTTGTAGTACTGGAGCATCTCCTGCAGCACTTCAGGAGTTATTTTAGTGGAGCCCTGCCCCGAATTTGTCGAAGCTGCGGCCATCCTGAACTGTGTCCTCAACCTTGAGACGAACTTGGCTGCACGGGGAAAGTAAAATAAAGAAATCAATCAGCGGGAGCTCTCAGCGGAAAGCTGCTTTTTTTTAACCTACAGGTGCGCATCTGGGTGTTGCTGCCTCGCCTCGTTCATCCACCAGACCCCGATGCTGTTGCTGCTGCTGCAGTTATGTAGTGCTCCGTGTGCGCGTACGGGTGAGTGTGTGCGCCCGCCCTGGTCAGAGGACAAAGTGACAGGCCAATGGACGAAGTTGTACCATAGGCTCTCTGAATGCCTCTATCCTCAGATTAGATCGTTTAGTCCTGTTAAACTATAAATACACGCAGTTTAAAACAATTAACCCGTCTATAACTTTCTCTTTTTAGTTAACACTCCATGCAGGGTGCTAATTAAGAAAATTAACTGGACATTTTTCAAACCATTTTGGCAACTCCATGAAGCAAACTAGTACAGTCATTTGCAATTCAGTGAAACCCCATATTTGCTTGAAAATAGTTCAAAGCCAACACATTCATAGAGAAAAACTGTATTGCTTTGGAAATTTGATGTCAGAAAAAGATTTCAAAAAACTTTAACACGGTCTTGCATCACATGCATGCGTTTTTCTTCACAACATAGTAAAGGCGTTTGGGGATGGAGCAAACCATTTGTTGCTTCTGGAGTCTTTTAAAAGTAAATACGTCTCACCACTCACAAAGACTGCCTGAGAAAATAGCAGCCATAAGACTGCAAAGAAGACCAGCATATATTACTTACGTTACAAGCCATTAAAAATAATGGACAGTTACAAAAAATCTCTGGAAGCAAGGAAAAGAGACAAAAACATTGTTGAATAGCTGTTATCAGTGAGCTCTTCAGACAGCAGTGCATAGGAGACAGACATAGCTGAGTGGAAACAACAGTATCTCCTAAAGCACACTTCTGAGGAGCGTTGTCTGTAAACACAGTTTACCACTGCATTCACAATTGTAATCTCTACTCAAGATTAACTGAGGGGAAGTGATAAGACATTCTAATGGATCAAAATTTAAAATTCATGCTTCCTCCAGGCTAAAAAGGGAGCAGGACTGTCATTAGACACTTCCTGAGCCAGTAAGTTAGGGTGCATCAGTGCGGATGACACTTGTACATCCCAGAATGTCCCATTAATAGCGAAAAATAAATACAGATGTGGGAGCAATATGTGCTGCTATCTAGCTAACATCTTTTCATGGAAGGTGAGGCTTATTTCAGCAAGACAACCTTTTGGACATAAAACAACAATCTAGCTCACAGACCACAATACTGTCTGCGAACATCAAGGGCACGAGTGTCTATGGACTATGATGCTTGCAGAAAGCATTGTGAGCAGTACTGAGTTTAGGGAGGAGGTGAAAGAGAGCCAGGCGAGTTGGAGGTACTGCATGCTCTGTTGAGAAAGGGAATGAAGCCAGGAGAAGCAAAACAAAATGTGTTTGTGAAGGTGAAGATGCAACCAGGTAGCAAGGAGGTGGATGAGTTTAAATACCTGTGGTTAACCATCCAAGTGTACAAGAGTAGTAAAGAAGAGAGTGAAGGCAGGGTGGAGTGGATGGAGATGACTGTCAGGGGCGATTTGTGACAGACATATAGCAGCAAGAGTGAAAGGGAAGGTTTACAAGATAATAATGAGACCTGATGTATGGTGGCACTAATAGAAAGACAGGAGGCAAAGCTGGGGGTAGCAAAACTAAAGTTCATTTTTAGTTTTTTTGTGACCAGAAAGGACAGAGGCAAAATTTAGATGATTTGGACATGTGCAGAGGAGGATAAAGGGGTTTAGTGTTCAAAGGATGTTGAATATGAAACTGACAGGCTGGAGAGAAAAAGGAAGGCCACAGAGAAAATTCATGGATGTTGTGAAGGAGGACATGCTGAGGGCTGGTGCGACAGAAGAGGATCCAAGGGTGAGATGGAGGCAGATTATCTGCTGTGGGAACAGCTGAAAGAAGAAGAAGTCTGGTACAAAACTGCCATAACTAACAGACACGTCAACCATAATAGTCGCCTTATAAAGTGAAAGAGGAACAAGGCATCTCCAAACTGTGAATGAGTCATATATCAAGCAAGAATGGAAAAACATTTTTACTTCAAAATTACAGCAATTTCTCTCCCCAGTTACCAAACGGGAGTATTCTTGAAATAAGAGGCCATGTAATACAGTAGTAAGCATGCACCCATCGCAACTTTCCTAATATATCTATATCATGAGTATATATTTAAATAATAATAATTTCTTGGGTTTAACATTTTATATGCTATTGTGCTATTTTCAGTTCAATATGGATTTGAATGACTTTACATGTGATTCAGTGTTTTTGGAAATAGTGTAACTGCTGCCAGGAGGACTTTATTTTGTCTTTAGTCAAAAGGAAAAAAAAATCTGCAGCATGATTTGAGATCCACAATTTGCTTCAATACTAAAATGATTGTTACAGCCTGACTTTTCACTGTAAAGTCATATAAAAAGAGATTTGAATGACAATGTACAAGATTGTTTGTGATTTTCAATTAAACCCATTAAGTTACCCATATGGAAAAGATATATATAAATCTTATAAAGTTTGTATCTGTCTTGTGTGAAACTTGTATGTAAAGCATATAAGAGTGAAAACAGATATAAGATCCCTTGAAAAATAATATAATGAAACTTGTATGTTTTGGATACTTACAAAAACAATGTATGAAAGTAATGAGAAAGTGGCCACTTTCATGAGTAAATCATGTAAGCCTTATATGATTTACTCATGAAAGTGGCCACTTTCACTTTACTCATGAAAGTGGCCACTTTCATGAGTAATCACATATAAGTTTTTACTATTTCTTTTCCATATGGGTACAGCAGATAGTGCGTTAAGTCTGGATTTCAAACCAAATGTATTTTCTTGTCACCCACTGACTCCACCCCACGCTGTGTAAAAAGCGCATCTACTCTTTTTGCTTTTATCCAATTAAACTGCCCCATAACTGCTCCTGTAATTTCAGAGCTGCATTCATCAGCCATCACTGCTGAGTTTTGATGAGCCTACTCATCATTTTAACAAGAAATCTGCACTACTTGGCAATTTTCAAGTCTCAGTGTAAGGAAGAATATGAGTTTTTATTCTTGTTTTCACTTGCTGAGCTGTGTTATAGTGGTCTGCACAACATGAAATATTAGAAATACCTTATACATTCGTGGGGTTAGGCCAGTTGGTGAAAATAAATTTGGATGGTACATTTAGAGGCCTATGGTATATGACGTAAAATAGTACTTGAATCCGGTGGTACTAATGATCATCATCATCTTAGATTGTTATTATTTTTTTCAGCATGTCAACATGCTAATTATATGCACTGATGACAATGTCATTTATTTTTATTAAAAAATACTGGACAACTAGCAAGCGAACAATAATGACGCTAATCAAAAATGGTGTTGTTGCTGGTGGTGTTAGGGGAAAAAAACTGCTTCCACACTAGTCATCCATGTAGTCGTGCTGTTTACAAGATAAAACTGACAAAATATAAGCCCGGCATAATTTAAATCCCCAGATGGTAATGATTTTGTTTTATTCATAGAAAAGCAGAGATGCAAGCACCAATAAATAGTCTGATTAAAAAAAACACATCCATGCACGGTGGAGTAATGGTGAAGGCTGAAATGAAAGCGTTGGGTACATGTGGCAAGCTGAGCTTAGAAAGACTAAACTAAAAATACAGTGCAGGTGCTCCTCTACATTCAGCACAACACAAAAACCTGTGTTTTACTACGTGTGAGTAAGAAACAGGGCTTGTTCAAAAGGACGAGCAGTGGATTATAAATTTTTTAGATGTTAGTAAGCTTTCTGGGGTTTATGCTAACCCAGTGCTACAAATATTACAGCTACAAGCATGTATTTGTTTTACATAACAATCACATAGGTGGCTATGACTGGCAGATATAAAAATGCCTTACCTGAGCTCCTTCTTTAATTTGTAAAGAAACAGCCTTGAGATCAGGGTCTTGGTTCAAGTGTTCAATGCATACAAATTTTACATTTGTCCTGTTTTGTTGTGATGGTGAAAAATACCTCATGCTTTACACGCATTTCCTAGAAGTACACGTTTATCTTTAATAACAATCTTTTTTACAACCTTGAACACAAAGGTCGAAAATGCAGAAAACATGTAAGGGTTATCAGGATGACTGGTCTCTAGGAATCAAAGACTTTCAAAGACCACTGACAGAGCTGTCTGTTTGCAATCTGTGCTTTTGATTTTACAGAGTTCCTTTCTTGCCCATCTACTGTCCCTGGGTGTTTAAAGTAAGGGCAGAGCTTCACAAACTTCACAGCATAGTGTAACTTTGCCTTTTATAATCTCCACCATCCAATAATGCCACAGAAAAACATAAACACAGTAAGAAGAGATTGTTTAAAAGAAGTGAACTAAATTTATTACAATAAATTATTTGGCAACTAGACACTGATGAAGCAGAATAGAGAATCCCGACAGCAGTAGGAAGTAAAACATGGGGTGGTGATGAAACGGGTAGAAAGCTCTAAGCAACCAGGTTGGGAGGCGGTTCACAGGAATGAGACACTAAAATCCAAAGTGACAGAACAGCACAGAGAACAGAGACCGATTGACTCTCAGATGATAGGCAAGAAAACTAGTCGACCAGAGTGATGAATTAAACAATGTGGGAAGGCAAAAGCGATGAAATGGAATAGAGGCAGGTAAGTGAAAGCAAACATTCCTTATTGATTTTGTGCAAAAGTTGTTATATTAATCCTGCATGCCTGTTACGCCTTTTCCCAACCTTGATCTACCGTGGTCACATAGTGCTCATTGTTCTGTCAGCGGTTTGCCCCCCTGTGACACTAACCAATCATACGCGCCATTGTTGACAGATTTTCTAAACATGCTAAGACCACATGCCAAGAAAATCTAAATTCTGGGGCTATACTTCTGTGATTGACCGTAACAAGCCTTTCCCAC